GTTGATGTTGATATATGTGATGGTTGATGTTGATATATGTGATGTTGACTTTGAAAATTTTATCTTATTCAATGTAAAACTAAAGCAAAATAATATAATTAAAAGATATTTTGTGTTGAAATGTGTCCGTAGCACGAATGAGGTCAACCCAGCGTGCTACTTTTCCCGTCAGGGAGGGCACAACTTATGTTGATTTTGGGGTATGCCATTTTGCCGGCTGCGCCACTGTTGTGTAGACCATTGTGAACAATACCTGCCAACTCGAATAAAACATTAAACTTAAATACTTAACATTTGTTTATTATATATAGGTCTTTAATAGCACGTACGTAAAGCTTTACATTCTATGGATATAAAACATGGTATACCCATAGAATGTAAATTAACTTTAAAGTTACTTACGTATTATTCCCATAGAATGTAAATTAACTTTAAAGTTACGTACGTTTTATACCCATTGAATGTAAAGTTATTTTAAAGTAACGTACGTGTTATACCCAGAGAATATAAATTATCTTTAAAGTTACATACGTGTTATACCTATAGAATGTAAATAAGCTTTACGTACGTGTTATACCCATAGAATGTAAATTAGCTTTACATACATTTTATACCCATAGAATGTAAATTAGCTTTACATACATGCTATACCCATAGAATGTTAATGAGTTTTAAAGTTGCCTACATGTTATACCTATAGAATGTCAAGGTTTACATACGTGTTATAGCCAAGGAATGTAAATTAACTTTAAAGTTACGTACGTGTAATACTCATAGAATGTAAATGAGCTTTAAAGTTACGTACGTGTTATTCCTATAGAATGTAAAGCTTTACATACGTGTTATACCCATGGAATGTAAATTATCTTTAAAGTTACGTACATGTAATACCCATAGAATGTAAATTAGTTTTATATACCTGTGATACCAATATAATGTAAATTAGCTATACGTACATGTAATACCCATAGAATGTAAATTAGCTTTACATAGGAGATATACCCATAGAATATAAAAAAGCTTTACGTACGTGTTATACCCATTCAATGAAAATAAACTTTAAAGTTACGTATTATACCCACAGAATGTAAATTAGCTTTAAAGTTACGAACAAATAATAACCATAGAATGTAAATTAGCTATTGCACGTGTTATACCCATAGAATGCAAATTAATTTTAAAGTTACGCACGTATTATACCCATATATATACCCTATTGACTGTCAAATATCTTTAAAGTTATGTAGGTATTATACCCATAAAATGTAAATTAGCTTCACGTACATGTCATACCAATAGAATGTAAATTAGCTTTTCGTACATGTTATACCCATAGAATATAAATTAGCTTTACATACGTGTTATACCCATTGAATATAAATTAGCTTTACGTACGTGTTATGCCCACAAAATGTAAATTAACTTTAAAGTTACGTTCGTAGTATACCCATAGAATGTTAATTAATTTTAAAGTTAAGTGAGTGTTATAACCATAGAATATAAATTAGCTTTATATAAGTGTTATTCCCACAGAATGTAAATTAGAATTACATAAGTGTTATACCAATAGAATGTAAATTAGCTTTAAAGTTACTAACGTGTTATACCCATAAAGGGTAACTTCCCCGCTGGTCGGGTACTGTATTCATTTTTAAAATAATAAATACATCCTCCACTGAGAACCATATAAATTTGGGGCCCTGTAAAAGTAGTAACTAAAAGCTTTAAATACATAAATGATGGCTTGTAAATTTTTTGATCTAAATTGTTCATATCAATATCTGGATTATGAAAAATATTGTAGGTGTAATGTAGAAGGCTAAGAGAGAGAGAGACTCATATCTAATTTTTTCTAATCTGCTTATAAAGCTTTGTTTTCTTAACCAACCACTGTGACTGTAGTCTTCTAGTAGAAGATCCTGACAACCTTCAGAAAAAAAAACATCACAAATATTTATGGTATCCGTCCTGACTACTTCAGATCTCCAAACCATGAGGCACACGTGTCTTGCACTAATTTACATTTTTCAGTTTAATTAGTCGTGTATTCATTAAGAAAAGAAAATTGCAAGAATAGTAAAAATTATAATGATATGGTATGTTTACACTTCTAAAGTCAGAAAGCATTATTATATGATAAAATAAACATTTCAAATTTATTTCCCCCCGTGGGGATCCAGGTTAGAATAGGTCCTCAGTACCCCCTTGCTTGTCGTAAAAGGCGACTAAATGGGGCGGTCCTTCGGATGAGACCGTATAAAACGAGGCCCCGTGTCACAGCAGGTGTGGCACGATAAAGATCCCTCCCTGCTGTAAGTGCTGAGCATAGGCCTAAATTTGCAGCCTTTCACCGGCAATGGTGACGTCTCCATGTAAGTGAAATATTCTCGAGAGGGACGTTCAACAGTATATAAACAATCAATCAGTCAAATTTAAATCATAGGTATCCAGGCTTTTGTAGAAATTGCATATTTATAAATATAAGGTACCCTATAAGTTTTGTTTATTTACTTCGCTTATTTTACAATGCAAAGTGTATAATTAAAGTATCTCAATTTCTTTATGATATATGTAACTTTAACATACTACTGTGGACTAAAAATCCGACTTTTATAAGACTTTCTAAGAAGTTTAAAGAACCTTGAAGCACATTGAGATGTATAAAATGAAAAGTTGATTTTTTTCAAAAGCTTCATTTTGAGACTTTTTCAAATTAATTATAGATTAAAGAGTTATTCTTCCTGGCTGAGGATCGGATATCATTATCCATGATTGATGTACACTCTTTAAAGTGCGTTGCTACATGCACGAAAAAGAACAAATCATAGTAAGCAAAGAGATCTTTTCTTTTTCTTTTTAAAACATTTTATTTATTTATTTTTGAAAATTGTATGAAAACTCTCAGTCAGCTGACATTTTTTAGTATATATGCCTATAATAAAGAAGACGAAGTGAGACAATGTATTATTTTGGTATTGTACCCTGGACTCATAGCCTCTTTTGATAACCTAATTATAGAAAGACACTACATACTAGCATACATGTATAGGTCCCTGGTTATCCATTATATAGATTTTCTTACTTTTTTTCTCAATTTAGAACAGATGTTACAATTATTCTCTCTGGAGAAGACTTAACACCAACTGTTACAGGTTAGTGGGTAAATTCAGTTCACTTTGTGCTCTTTTCGAAACATTTCGAAACATTTTTGAACAAAATAACTTAAAGAGGGTAAATGAATTTAGATCAAACAATTTTGTCATGATAACTCTAATTGTGTACTTTTGGGGGAAACACTGGAAGGTATACATATTTCATTTTTCAAGTCAAAGGAGAAAAATTTCACAGAATAATCCTTTTTCGAAACCTGTGACATGATATTAAATCCCCTCCAAATAAAAATTTCATCCATCCTCCAAGTCGATGTTTTAAGGTTTGTAAGTGTTATGCAGAAATTCGACTTTGACCTTTTTAGTGCTTTTTTTCCTTCATGGAGAATGCTTCTTTGTTGTATAAAGTAATCTTTAATATTCCCAAAATGGAGATATTTTCCTTTGACGACTGAATTTATCAATTTTTTGGGTGGATGGGGGGGGGGTGGGTGGGGGGGGGTGTTTGGGGTTGGCGGGTTGGCTCTCTCAATGAAATATAGGGAGATAAAGAACAGAATTCAAGCTCAAAAGTCAATTAAACAATATGAAATAGGAGCAAAGCAAACATGGACCTCCAAATTATTAGAGGTGAAAATCAGATGACATGGAGGAGTGAGCATCACTTGGAGACTGGTCACTCCTGTTTGTTGTAATCGGAAAAATACGTAAAAAATCAATCGAAAATTCAGTGCGTACATGTATTCTATAATGGCCTAACAATTTGTATGACAATTTACATGTAAGCACTTCTTATATAAATAAACAACCACAGCAAAACACACAGAAGTATTATTAATCTATTCTGTATTCTGAGTGGCCTATATATATATATTCCTTTTTGCTAATGTACAGGCTTGTGTGAAGTCACAGAGTTAACCTGAGGTGCAGAGTGTGGGTAGACAAGGAGCTTCCTCTCCATAGGTATTGGGGGAGGGGTTCAAAGGAATCAAATTTTCCTAACTCAGACCTTTACAATTTTAATTTTACCAATGAAAATGACATTGTAGACGTATTTACATCGTGATGTGAAGACCACTGAACAAATCTAAGAACTTCTTACTTTTCCCTTTAGTCTGCTTAGAAGATTTGGAAACTTCCCTACTGAATAATCAAAATTCGATCAATACGTTGAATTTCCTACTAACCAAATATAACTCAAGTTATCAATTTCGTTTCCAGTACTTATTATGGACTCCTGTTGCTTTCGATGAAATTTTCTGATACGGACTTAATATTAATAACACTTGAACTTTGGCTTAAAAATTTCCAGCTATGGGAATAGTTTTGTCCTTATATATAAGTATAAAAGTGCAATTTGCTAAGAAAGCTAAATTTTTTGGCATTTGCAACAAAATAAATCAATAGGTACAATTTATTATCAACTTCCCTCCATTTGTTCAATTTAATTTTTATTCTTGAGAAAATGATGTGTAGGCTACAACTTTTTTGACTTATGGAATATACGCAACTGGTATTTCCTGCTAACTTATGATCCGACATTGCAGTGACAATACTATCAGGTAATTCATTTAATTAATACACGTTTTTATAAATAGATGGGTAATTTTTTTAATTTAAAAGTAACTTAATCTACAATATTATAGATCCCCCTAGAACTGGTAAGAGATTATATAGTTCCATTCCAAACAAAAAGTTAATATCACAATTACATTCTCCCTCCTCTCACAACACTTTCAAAATTTCGTATATCATAATTCTTTGTAGATATTATAATTCTTTGTAGAAATAGATAAACTTGTTAAGAATTAAAATTAATTTCCAAAACCTGTTAATTAAGCATTTTTTTTTAATTCAAGTAAAACTTATTTATCAATCTTTATATACAGAATGGACCATATCCCCCGTCTATCAGAGGTCCTGTATGTTGGTCTGTGTCGTGAGATAGGGACACCGACGGAAGTGGCCATCAGAAGGGACGTAATGGACATGAAGGAGATGATACGTAGACCTGTTGATAATCATAAGGGCTATGCTGCGATGAATAGTGGTAGTTATAGAGAGGGATTTAGGCTGACATCATCTGACATTGATACAATGACCTGGTTATGTCAGTTTAAGCTTATAACTGACATATCTCAGTTCAGGATCTATAATACATCAAAACATTTTATCTTACTGATGGAAGATTTCGACACACCACCAGGGTTTGTAAGACTACGCCTTCTGACACCACAAAACAAGTTCATAATATCTATGTGTCTTGCAGAATTTAATGGCGGGGTTTATATGTCAGGTTCTCTTTGGAGAGAATTTTATTTTCAGTTCCACGCAAATGACAGATACTTCCAGCAGAAAAATATCCGTAACCATGGTCCATGTGTTACTGGTGTTGATGGAACTCTTGAATTTGATCAAGCTGCTTGTTTTGCCAGTATATATTGGCCTAAACAGACGAGAGATTGGTTTGATAGATGTCAGAGACACACCTGGCCTCCTGTACTTGTGTTGGAAAAAATATTAAGAAATGGTTTTCACTGTGTGCCTATTGGAAGTAAAATTGTTTCGACTTCTAACGAACTGGAATGGAGATTATCATTTTCCCAAGCCGAGCAACAACTAGTGTGTATCATGAATCATACACAATTTTTATGTTATGGACTTTTGAAAATATTTCTGAAGGACGTCATCAATTTTAGGGTGGAACCACGACTGTGTTCATATTTCATGAAGACCACAATGTTCTGGATGATACAACTAGGGCATTTGATATGGCTTCCAAACAGATTACTAGATTGTTTCTGGAAGTGTTTTAAATATCTTATTTATTGTGTTTATGAAGGAGATTTTCCTAATTTCTTTATTCCACAAAACAACATGTTCATAAACAAAATGGTTGCAGATACACGTGCCTCTCTTTTACAACAGCTTTATCAGTATTACAGAATGGGTGTGACCTGTTTACTGCTGAGTCCGACTCTAAAATCAATACTTGAACCAGCCCTCAGTAGCCCATCATTTGTGTTATCCACTGCCGAGGGAGAATTTATAAGTATTGCAGATATAGACTTATGTGGCATGACGGAAATTTTTCAAATTGTTATTTATTGTAAACATATGGTGGATATTTACCTTTATTTGAAATCCAATGATATACTATCAAGTTTTTCATGCTCTCCATACCAATTACTTACATTACAGTATGTTAAATCTGATATACTTGTTCAATTGGCCTTCACAGTAGCAAACAATAATTCATCTTGCAAATATAAAAATGTCTACATCTTAGATCGAGTAATTTGTAATGTGCTAAAATTAGCAGGTAGGCTAGGCCCTATTTACTCTTTGTTATTTCTAGCATTATATTACTATAGAACAGCGAAGTATGAAAAAGCACTACACATTATCTATCTTAGTAAACAAAGACTGTCAGAGGACAATATTATATACTTTAATACTGTCGACAGGCACAGGTACATTGAAACTGTAGGTAATCTCCCTTTGTCCAAAAGGATGAATAAAGCTTGGGTGGAAAATATGATTTTAAACAACAATATTCTATACATAGAAGAGTTATGTTTAGAACAATATTGGAGTCTTCAAAACGGAACGCCATTCTTAATTTTATCACCAAATGTTATGATTGAGTTGTTGTCTGTGTTATCTCACTATAGACTAGGTAATAGATCTCAGTGTTTGCAGTCACTGACAGACCTACAGACACTGCTGCTGTGTGATGATAATGTGTATGCTCTTTTAGAAACCAGAGACATAGCATGGCAGATACTAGGAATCTGTCAACACATTGTAGGAGACTTATACGGAGCTCTACAATCTTACGAAGTGTCACTTAGACAGTATCAATATAACAAAATACAAGAAGCTACATTGATAAGAATTGAGTGTGTAAAAGAACAACAACATAGAATTATGCAAGCGTAGTCAAAGGAAAAGCTGTTGTATTTCCTTACATGTTTGTGCTTCAAAAACTATGAACTGGATAATATTTTGCTACAGTGATTGTTTGATCACTTTTTGTTCAAGATTTTAGATAAGAAATAAAAGATGAACATTCTTTAAAATATTGTTTCACTTCTCATCAAATGTTCTTTGTTGATCTGCAAATGTATGTAAATTTTTATTTTTTTAGGTCAATAATATCGTTGGGTTTCGTTATTATAGAAGTTGCTGAACATTAAACGTATAATAATTTAAGTTTGACTGTTAATCAAATGAGTTGAATGCAAATTTTGTTTTGTTTTTTATGGCCTCGCCGCCAAATAGCCGTCCTTTTAATTTCAGTATTTTAATCCACTGATAATTGGTTGATGAAATATAAGGAATTGAAGACCGGGGGAAAAGCAATTCACTGTCTGGTCGGTATAATTTGAACACAATCGGCACAGGTTTATAAATTAATTAATAAATTTAATAATCAGTAAAATTTTATGAATAAGATTGGAGCTGGTGCATTGCATTGATGTTTTAATTGTAAATTCGCTTCCGCTTTTAAATTGAAATTTAGATCCCTTTGTTAGGTATAGACAAGAATCTCGTCTCACAGAACTACAAGAACTACTCCTTCGAAGACACTTTCCCAGACGATTGATTCAAAAGAGAATAAACAAAGCAAAATCTCAAGAAAGAAAAGCTCTTCTTACCGTGAAAAATAAATCGGTTAATAATGTCATACCATACCGTTTCAACGCACAACCCAAGAAATCCAGAGATTTTTAACATTATTAGAAATAATTTGCCTATCTTAGAGGATAATCCAGGCATGAAGAAAATATTAGAAACTTCGCGAATCATGAAGAGTGAGCGACAAAGTCCTTCTCTTAAATCAATCCTTACAAAAGCACCCTTTTTCAATAACAACAACGAACCAGCAATCATCAATAGATGCAATAAGCCCAGGTGCAGTACTTGTCCATACCTGACATGGGGATCTAAATTTCAATTCAAAACCGGAAGAGAATTTACAATTAGAACATAAATATTTACATTCTCTCATTTAATTATAAGAAATGCACAGAATTTCTTCATGTATTTATAAGAGAGGCAGTATTCCAAAAGCTTTACAATGATTTTTTACTTTTACAATTAAGATCGTTAGCACTTGCAAAACGACTGCAATCTGCTATCTGTAAGTTTGCACTATGTTTTAGTTTTATACGCACGAAAGCTTTGTCGAGAACCTGGATTAATCCCTTCTTTAATACAAAGGATACTTAATGCAACAAAGCTTAATGAAGTAAATTAATTCTTCCCTTTTTCTTTTCACTGAACTTTCAATAAATTCAAGTTGCGCTTCAAAAGTTGGTGCACAGCACACAATCCTTTTTTTTAATTGGTCATACCAAATTTGTTTTTTGATGAAAAAAATGAAAAAGGCAGTCAATAAAACATTTTAATAAAAGCAAAATCATAATGGTAGTTATTCTGAAAATCAATGAACAAACTTAAATTTGTTGAACATTTCTACTTTTATCTTTTAAAAACATGCAATCTTCCAAACTATTAACATAACAGCTTGAACAGGTTCATTATTCAAACAATACATGTATTTAACCTATTCCAAACAATTATCCCATGACGAAGAAGTACTGATAATATATTTTTTTAATACAAAAAGTCTAGGTTTTATAAATATACTCGTATTTACACCAATATCAGAATCATGCTTACTCGTAAAGCATAACAAATTCAAACATATATTATTGCAGTGATCCAAAGTAGAATGATGTGAAACTTAACAAAAATAAACTATATATATAATTATATCACTACAGCCTTATAAAACACCTTTGAGAATCCAAACGAACTTTTAAAGACTACAAATTTCTTAAGTTGTGTGTAATCTAACTAGATTAAATATGTAGAATATTTTTAAATGTATGTGTAAGCTATGATCCAAAACGGAATTATGATTTATGCAAACTTGTATTTTTATTGATTAAACATCAATTTATATGTTTTCGCAAGGCTGTGCTATTAAACTCATTATTTTTGCATACGAGGCGTGTACTAGTGCACGGCTATCGAGATTTGGTTGGGGGGTAGGTATCATGTTGTCACTTTCCAATGCAATGGTCGGGGGGGGGTAAATAGAAGGTTGTCATGTTGGAAATTATGCATTTACCTCCCCCTATTAAATTTATATTTACAACATGATATAGGTATAATGAGTATATGAATGAAACTAATCCAGTTCAGGAAATGTTTTTGACAAGAAAATATTATGTACAGACTCATGAGAAATTATGCATGGTATGATATAATCTAAGGTACTTTAATTTAGCATAACAACGGTGTAAAAAGGTCAAGCTTGGACTGCAGAGAGTAGAGATGTGTTTTGAGACACCTGTTTACACCAGAAATTAGATGCATGGTTGGGACATATTGACTTGTTTTGGTATGAACCTCACATTTCATAAATGATTATAGCAAATATTTTTTTGAATTAATATTTTTTCTACAACTTAACATTAATTTTCAGCAGATGTTTTTTAAAATGTACAACAGAATATTATAAATACTGCTAATCTTAAAGAGGGCTGCTACCCTTTATATTTAGAATGGAGCTTGTAAGGTGTTTCTAGACAAGATTTTGCTGTAGGAAGCTCTGTTGAGTAATAGGTGTACATTAACATTTCCACTGAATCACAATGGGGACCCTCCTTCTTGAGATAAAATTCACCGTTCTGAAACAGGCAGAAAAGTTTATTTCAAAGTCTGATTAACTGTATTTAAGCAAGAAATATCTTATTCAAATCTTTACATAAAGACTAAATACTTGAACAGTTAAACCTGAAGTGTTACTTGTTTTAATATACATGTAATTAAGGAAAATTTGACTTAAATTGATGTACATGCAGCTTAAGTAAATATCAATACTGACCTCGTTGGTAATTTTATATTTCTTTGGCATGTTTTCTGCAAATACAACCAAAACCTGCCAAAGCAAAATTAAATTTTAGACATATATAAGTATGCATATTTTTTGCAAGATCTATTTAACTTTGTAGAGATTTTTCAGATAAAATGCTGTACAAACCTGTCCGCCATCTGCACCTGTGCGAACTAGATACACGCCATCCTCACCAATATTCCTTATTATTCTGTTTTAGAAATAAAAATAAATACTACATATGAATGAAATATGTTTTTAAAGAAGCTCATATAAAAATAATAAACTTCTATTTTTCTATGATAGCAAATTTTTTTATCCTAATTGTTTTTACTTTTTAGATTTGGTTGAATTAAGAGTTGAATAAAAGAATTTAAATGCAATTAGGATAATTATAATAATTCATAAATACTACAAAAAGATATATACACACAGATATTGCAAATGATGACATTGAAATTATCCCTCTTCCATATATAATAACGCATACATGTACATCACATTTTACATCTCGAGAGAATTATCAGCTGAATGCTACTCACTCTTGTGCCCTTTCCTTATCATCACCTTCGTAGTAAATATTACTCCAATAGTCCTCGCTATCTTCATCTTCATCTTCCTATAGCAAACCATATTTCAAATACCATGTAATTGTTAAGTTTTGCTACAGAAACCTTAAATGTATCATATCAAGAAATATCTAAATGAAAATATTTTTGAAATAGCTGAAGGAATTATACTTAAATTTATTTGTATTTAATCCATATAACTTCCACATTCTCTGGAATCAATATTTCTTCATATGAGGTGATATTAAAAACATTTATGATGATTCTACAGAAGTAAGTATGTTTATCTTTAAGGTTTTGTCAAAGATCAACATGTCCAAAAATTTATTTTACAATAGCTCCAAAAATATGAGAGTTATAAAGTTAAAACTTATACAGTTTATTGATATATCATTAATTAACAGATGGAAAGTATTATTTGAAAACAGATACATTGTATTTTTTTGTGCACCTGCTTAATTCTGTCCTTTTTTGAAAACCATAATTGCAGATATGATATATGTTTATCAACGAAGGGCAAGTTTAAAGTGAATAGTCTCTGAAAGGCTGTTATTGAAAGCATGACATGCATAAAGACAAGGCCCCTTTAAAATCGGCCATTTGCAATGTATTTTTAGTTTCAGATCTTAACATTTTGAAAAATAAACAAGAAAAACAACTTTCCAGAGGTTATCTAAGTCCAACTTGCCCTTCATTGATAAACATTTGTTGTTTCTGCAATGAAGGCTTTCACTAAAACCATGGGGTTAATTAAAAGTGTGTTTTTGAAAATATATGCTATTTTTTAAAAGAATTTTCCTTGTTATCAAGAGATATTTTCTATATTTGTTAATCAATGATGTATTTAAAAACTGTAAAAGTTTTAACTTTATAAAACACATACTAGTAGTTTTGGAGCTATTGTAAAAATCAATTTTTGTACAAATTGACCTTTGACGAAACCTTAAAGGCACCTGATCCCAGCCCTGGAAATTATAGGGGTCTTTTTTATGCCCTCTTCACATATTTTAATTATACAGAGATATTTAGATATCAATCACTGTTTGTTATTTTCATCTTTTATATTGAAACAATTCTAATATATTATAATTTCTTTGAAAAGAAAACCCATCTTTCTAACCTCCTCGTCTGCAGCTTTGATTTCGGCGATCCTTCTGTCAGAAACTGGAGTGTTTTCTTTATCTTTTGATCCTTTTCGCCTTCCTTTAGAGTGACTTAAAAGATACATAAAAATTCACCTCTGTTTCATTTATTATATTAAATGAAAAAGAACCAAAACAATACATAAATATACTGAACATATTTTTTTAGGAAATTGGGAAGTTCTGCTTATTTTGATTTTAATTTTGATGAGTGAAATTTTTAAAACGTTATTTACTTCTCCAGTAGTATGTCTTGCAGAAAATACTGAAATGATGAGTGCCAAATAAATTAAATAAAAAAGATTATTTAACAGTACGATAAAATCTTATTTTACACATTCTTGAATGTGATATTATACATTTGTAATTTCATTTAATTGCTTGCTTTCATCATCAATTTTAGTAAATACCCAAGCGTAACTAGTACTGCTCCATTTAGGATTTCAAAACTGGGTGTTCATTAATACTAAAATGTATTTAGAAAACATTATTATTATGATTAATGCTCACACAACTTTCTGCTGCAATGTATTCCTTATATTGTAACAATACTTTACAAAGCTGCTAGCATACAGAAATGACAAAAAGTGAGAGGGATAGTCTTTATCTTACCTGTTTGAAAGTGTCTCTGTTAACTCTTTCTGCAAAGCAGAAGCAGATAACTGTGAAATCTTTTAATGAAACTTACATAACTTTTAATATCACATACATTAATGGTTTGCTCAATTCTTAACCAGATTCTTCACCAGATATAGAAGAAATCATATAATATAAAACATAGGTAATCAGAGATTACAGAGCTCACCTTAACGAATGTTGTCTTTAAGTAAGCCAAAGTCACACAATTAACCAATAAAAAGTTTACATTCCGAAAATATTTAAGCAATTTTGATCTGATACTTTGAAATAGACCTACATAACAAATTTAAACTAGTTCTCTTTCATGAAAATGTAATCAAAATCCAGCATCTGAAGCAAATTTGAGAGTTTTCATCTCTTGATGCAACATTTGTGCAAGTTTGGTTTATACAATGTTATATAAGCCTTATAGTTTTTTCGTATTAGACCTGCACCCTTAACTTTACCTGGTCTATTATCTGAAAAATGTATGTCGAATTCAGCATCCGAAGCAAGCCCATTAGTGTGCATCCTAAGATGTATCGTCCATGCAAGTTTGTCATTATAGGGCTCATAGTTAATTGGAAATGAAACGTGAATCTAAAACTAATATTTTCACTCATCCACAAAAAGTAGGACAGATTCAGCATCCGAAGCAAGCCCGGTAGTGTGCATCCTTAGATGTATCATCCATGCAAGTTTGGTCAACATAGGGCTTGTAGTTACTTAGAAATGAAACCTGCACCAAAAACTTTAACCTGTTCACTCAACCGGAAAATGTAGATCAGATTCAGCATCCGAAGCAAGCCCAGTAGTATGCATTCTTAGATGCATCATCCACGCAAGTTTGGTCAACATAGGGCTTATAGTACTCGGAAATGAGACCTACACCAAAAGCTGCACCAAAAAACTTTAACCTGTTCACTCAACCAGAAAATGTAGGTCAGATTCAGCATCCGAAGCAAGCCCAGTAGTATGCATTCTTAGATGCATCATCCATGCAAGTTTGGTCAACATAGGGCTTATAGTTACTCGGAAATGAGACCTACACCAAAAGCTGCACCAAAAACTTTAACCTGTTCACTCAACCAGAAAATGTAGGTCAGATTCAGCATCCGAAGCAAGCCCGGTAATATGCATCTTTAGATGTATAATCCATGCAAGTTTGGTCAATATAGAGCATAAAGTTACTTTGAAATGAAACCTACACCAAAAACTTTAACCTGTTCACTCAACCAGAAAATGTAGGTCAGATTCAGCATCCGAAGCAAGCCTGGTAGTGTGCTTCCTTAGATGTATAATCCATGCAAGTTTGGTCAATATACAGCTTAAAGTTACTTGGACATGAAACCTACACCAAAAACTTTAACCTGTTCACTCAACCGCAAAATGTAGGTCAGAGTCAGCATCCGAAGCAAGCTCAGTAGTGTTCATCCTTAGATGCATCATCCATGCAAGTTTGGTCAACATAGGGCTTATAGTTACTTGGAAATGAAACCTGCACTAAAAACTTTAACCTGTTCACTCAACTGGAAAATGTAGGTCAGATTCAGCATCCGAAGCAAGCTCGGTAGTATGCATCCTTATGCCTAGGTCACATTTAAGCCGATGGTCTAAATTTTTCTGGTCTTGTCGGCCGGAAGAACATGAAACCGATACTGGGCGACACGGAGCAGTCAATGAATACATTAATTCCTAGGGGACAAATAACAAAAAAATCTTTTTTCTTTAGAATTCACCAATATTTTTTCATAGATCTATATTCAGATAGGTGACGTGAGTAATGTTTGCAAGGCAAAGTTGAAAATGTGTGCAAAATTTTGTGTGGAACTAAAAATGGAAATGCAAATAAATTTCTTTATATCTTACGGATTAATTATTCATGTTATTTCCGTTCAAAAAATTCATATCAATCCATGCATCAAAATTTTGCTTGTGTTATGTATCCTTACTAGGTTAAATAATCACAAAATGTTCAACTACAGTTTGATTTTAAGCTGCCGAAATTTTAAACACCCTTATTGTCCAACGACGGACAACCGACTTTATAAACTGACCGCCATTAACTAACTTCAATTGAAGGTCATTCCACCGACGCATAAAAAATTATAACCTGGACCGATGGACACAAAATTGGTCGGCCGACAATTATTTCAAATAAAGAGGTCAAAATCGGCCAAGACAACGGCCGATGAACTGACGACTGGTATTTTTGCTTCAAAACCCAAAAAATTCAGCAGTTGGTCGTTTTTGGAAATGTGACTGGGGAAACACACTATAACCTTATAGTTACTTGGAAATGAAACCTACCAAAAATGTTAACCTGCTCCAGAAACATTAACCTGGTCATTCCTTTGCTGAAATTGCAGCATCTGAAACTTTGACTGGTACAATGAAACACACTATAACCATCTTCCATGCATGTCTAATCAATATAGGACATAGAAGTACTTTTAAAAAAAGAAAACTGCTCCAAAAAACTTAACCTTAACCTGGGACGCCTACGCCGACACCGACACCGACGCCGACGCCGAGGGTATTTCATAAGCTCCCCCAACTTCGTTGAGGTGAGCTAAAAATGTTGTATTTATGTTCTTCAAAGTCTGATATAAACCACAAAATGAATATTTTAACAGTACATAGAATCATAAAATAGAAGAAAAATGTTAAATTAACATTTGAACTTAAAATATGAAATTTTAACAGTATTTAGAATCAGAAAATCAATGAATACTGTTTGATTAATAGTTGAACTTGAGATATGTATAAATAATCGAGTCAATATGACTATTATTTCGTCTCAGTTTCCATCATTACTTTCTCAACATTATGTACAATTTGATTTCATGAGTCACAAGGCAAAACTTCCTAACAACATTTTTTTCGATATATGTATAACGATATATCAAGGTATACTTTACATGTACTTTAGCTGCCGCGTCCATGGATTCTTTTCGTTTGCCCCTTTCTCTTTGTTCATTTTCTGGAGAGAGAAAAATACTTATAAAAAGATGCATGTAAGCTTTTTGCTTCAATCATTATTAAAACTAAAAAATCTTGTCCAATTTTTCTAATGGCTATTGGGTTGAATTAATGAATTTGATTTTGGAAAGAATATAGCATAAGAAAGTACATGATTTTTCTGGAAATATGAAGTCAATATTTTTTTCTAGTTTCTTAGTTTGCAACAGAAAAGCTTAAAATAATTAACTTATCAAATTCTCCCGAAATGAAATAGAGAATAGTGTTTACAGTCTTCGCTCACTTTAAATTTAGGATATGCAGTGAATATCAAAATCTTTTATTTGCTTGTTTGAAAAAGCATGTTTTATATCAACTTTTTGGGCAATGCATTGTGCCTACTTATAATTAATATTTTGCAAAGTTGATGAAAATAAGGAAATTGCACATGTTAATCACGTCGTGATTGTCAATTTACAAGGTCAAATAAAAAAAATTATCAGAAAATGAAATGATCATAAAGCATGGCCATGTTTTAATCTTTCGCAACAATTATATTTTTCAGATTTTTTTGTTTTTTTTTGGTTGAAAAAGGTACCTTCTTCTTTAAAAAAAACATTTAAAGGTAATTCAGTTGTCTTTTATTTGCTTTGGGAAAAAAATCTGCACTTTGTAATATAAAGATTCTGTAACAGCCCTATTATTAAATATTATTCAGTGGTATTAAAATGTTATAGAAAGAATGATTGGGTCTACATTTAGCCACATTATGGTTAACCCAAAATATCTATCTCATCATAACATAATTTTGGACTACGAAGATTGTGTGAGCCTCTTCAATTATTTCAATATAAAGGAGGAATCGCAGGTAACAGGTGGGTCCTCCAAGAAAAATATGGACTTATGGAAGGGGAAGACGGAAGGACTTCCAATCTCATTTATATACTCCCACTTTTTAGGTGGGGAGATACTAGTAATTACAAAAAATTCATCAGTCCTTCAATGCTTTTGGAAATATCTGGAAAGAGTTATATTAAAAATACAGAACATTGAATATTTGGTGTAATCTACATTTTCTGAAATTCGCAATCATTGTTCTTTATTGCATAATTACAATGTATCATTATTCAAAGATAAATTTATGCACTGAGATCAAAACTGTGTCTGAACCATCACAACTTAGGTTATTTAATTGATAGTTAATACCCTGACCTCTCACTGGTTGGGACGTGTCTGCCTGACGTCGGGGAGGGACTGACGGTTTGTTCTCCTCCTCAGGTAGAGGGGCTGGAGGTCTCTCTTTATATGCATCCTTTCCCTGTCTCCTTGGGGGAGGGGGAGCAGGTACAGAGATATCCTCATCATCTGACACTACAAAATGGAATATAGTCATACAACAATAGTTGTCTCATAAAATTCTCATGTTGTTACATGCTCTTGGGTATTTAAACAAATGTCAAAGTACTGGTATTACTCTGATTTGTATTATAGTTTCTTCTTTTTTATTGTTAACAATTTTTTTTACAAATTTGCACAATTTACTTCAATAAATGACAGGTGGGTCCTCCAAGAAAAATATGGACGAATGGAAGGGGAAGACCCAATTCAGACTTCCAAATCTCATTTATATACTCCCACTTTTTAGGTGGGGAGATACTGTAATTTATTGAAAAATTGTGCAAATTTGATAACAAAAATTATAAATGTCAGTGAAAAGGCCCAAGAAACATAAGAAAATCTGAGTATCAGTCTAAATTGAATTTTATAAGTTTAAAGCATGTATAACATGAGTTTTTTTTATACCATGGAGGAAGTTTTATGGAGTATATTCTCATTTTGTAGTGTATGGAGGTTGTATTTTTTTCTAAGGAATTGGGCGATTACCCATGGAGGTATCAAAAAGAGATTTTTTCGCGTAACCCTTTACCTGATGGATGATAAAAGTGCTTGTAAAACCGTAAATGCAAAAAAACCCTCCCCGCATTGAATACATTGAGGGGGGAGAGGTCTTATTTCCTATCAATTAAATCACTTACCTTTAAGCTAATTTCCTTATGGTTCTTCTACATTTACAGTTTTGATCTAGTAGACAATAAATTTATTTTTGATATAATGATAATTGACCCTTAATTATGCATGTTTAAAGAACATTATCATATAAATGTGAATATTCAAAGTGAAATGTACTTTAAAGATTACACCAAGTATATTCAATGTTCCTTATTAAAATATAATATAACTCTTTCTAGATATTTGCAAGCAAAAATTTAAAACTCAAATGAATTTTTTGTAATTATAGTATCCCTTTCTAACCTAAAAAGTGGGATATATAAATTTTTAATATCCTGGAAGTAAACAAAATGAATTTGAACCCCTTCCATATATATGTGTATATATTCTTGGAGGACCCAAACTGTAATTTTGAATTCCTTTATATTGAAATAATTGAAGAGGCTCACACAATCTTCGTAGTCCAAACATTATGTAAATGATGAAAGATGATATACTTTATAACCATAATGTGGCTAAATGTAAACCCAATTTTTTCTATAATTTTTTAAAACCACTGAATAATTACAGTATATAAAAGGGCTGTTACAGAATCTTTATAAAAGTTAAGCATTTTTCCCAAAGCAAATAAAAGACAATTGAATTTTTAAAGGTCATTGTTCGAAGACAGATTAGGAAATTTGACTTTCAACCAAGAAAAAACAAAAAAATTTTCTGAAAAATATAATTGTTTGAAAATTAAAACGTGGCCATGCTTGTATGAATTTCATTTAAATGATGCAATTTTTTTTATATTGATTGTTAAATTGACAAACGTCGTCGATGATTAACATGCTTGCAAGTTGAAGGCCACAGCAAGTTTTCATCAACTTTGCAATATTAATTATAAAGGCACAGTGATTCCAAAAAAGTTGGGTTTTGGGAGTAACATGCTTTTTCAAACTTTGATCAAATAAAAGCTGATTAATAATATTCACTGCTTTTTAAAGAAAGTGATAATCTGTTGGAGTAATACTGCATGGTATTTGTGTCGGGAGAATTTCACATAATTAATTATTTTAACATTTATTTTTATTACTTAAGAAACTAGAAAAAAATTTTGTACCTTGATAAAAAGTCCAGTTTAAAACTTATTTATGCTCTATTCTTTAAAAAAATGAAGGCCAAAATCAAATTCATTAAATTCAACCCGATAGCCATTAGAAAAATTGGACCACGATTTTTTGGTCTTTATTAATAATAAATGATCCTAAAAGTTACAGTAAATTTTTATTTCATGTTTTTCTCCTCCTTAGAAAATCCTATACAAAGAGAAGGATTAACCCTTTTGCACTCCATATTATAAATTGGATGTAACACCATAGCATATACATATACCTATGATATATAATAACAAATTAAAATGTTAACATTAGGAATTTTTTGCCTTGTAACTGTGTTTTTTAATGATGATACTTTGAATTTACCTCAGAAATAATGATGGAAACTGAGGAATTTTTTTTGTTTGTTCAGTTTCTTTATACATATCTCAAGAAATTCAACTAGAGAGAACAGTATTCATTGATTTACTGAATTTAATACTGTATGTAATTTTGTGTTTTTAGTTCCAAAGGAAATTTAGAATTTTTGTTTTCAAAATTATGTTGTATAGGCTTTCAATGCAATTTGTTTTTTAATCTTAGAAGCCCTTTAAATACCTTATTATTTGCATTCATGTTTTAACTTTTAACTTATTTCATATTTTTCTTCAGACTTCATAATATCTCCAAATTAAGGTTAAGTTTTTTGTGCAAATTTTTTCTTTTTTTAAAAGTACTTCATTACTGTTTTCCTGATATTGATTATCATATTTTACATGGAGATGATTAATGTGTGATCAGTTTTACCATGAGTTCCAATACTGCAATTATCTAATGACCATGGTTTTTCATGACCCTGGTTTACAGATCTTTCAATTTTAAAACACAGTTTTTCTTGAAAGGTTTCAATTGTATTTTCCAATTGTCTTAAAGCCCTAAATTTTTTTACCATATACAAGTATGATACTCAAAAAACCCCAGTCACATTTCAAAAACGACCAACGGCCGACTATGAGTTTGAAGCAAAAATGGGATTCTCTTCAGGGGTGACACATATCAGATCATTAAGGCCGTTGTCTTGGCCGAATTTTGACTTCTTTTTTGTCGGGCTTTTGTGTCCATGGTCCAAGTTATAATTTTTTATGCGTCGGTGGCCGATTCCGGTCAATTGAAGTTAGCCATCGACCATTTTCAAAATCTTCGTCCGACCATCGGCGGTTTTGGTCTTTTTTTGCATATTGAACACATGATTTAAAAAAATGTATATGAAACGCTTAAAATCAAACTGTAGCTCAGAGCTCGATGATCGGACGACGATTTTGGCCATTGACTGTTGTATCACATATTTAAAAATAAGGATACAGTGCAATTTATAACACAAACAAAATTTTGATGTTTAAATATTGATATAAATTTTTTGAACAGGAAATAACATGAATAATTAATCCGTAAAATATAAAGAAATCTAAAGTATTTTTTGCTTCTTAGATATCATTATTTGTCATTTTTATGCAATTCCACACAAAATTTTGCACACATTTTCAACTTTGCCTTGCAAACATTACTCACGTCACCTATCTGAATATAGATACCACATGAAAAAAGTTCTTGAAAAACATATGCTGAATTCTAAAGAAAAAAGATTTTTTTGTTATTTGTCCAAGTCATCGGTGTCCCTAGGAAATAATGTGACTGCTCCGTGTCGCCCGACACTGTGTCGGCCGATCAAGTTCTTTTAGCCGACAACACCAGAAAAATTTAGTCCCCGGCTTAAATGTGACCTAGGCATAAGGATGCATACGGCGTCCCAGGTTAAGGTTAAGTTTTTCGGATGCTGAATCTGACCTACATTTTCCAGTTGAGTGAACAGGTTAAAGTTGTTTGGTGCAGGTTTCATTTCCAAGGAATATAAGCCCTATGTTGACCAAACTTGCATGGATAATGCATCTAAGGATGAACACTACTGAGCTTGCTTCGGATGCTGACTCTGACCTACATTTTCCGGTTGAGTGAACAGGTTAAAGTTTTTGGTGTAGGTTTCATTTCCAAGTAACTATATGCTCTATATTGACCAAACTTGCATGGATTATACATCTAAAGATGCATATTACCGGGCTTGCTTCGGATGCTGAATCAGACCTACATTTTCTGGTGAGTGAACAGGTTAAAGTTTTTGGTGTAGGTTTCATTTCAAAGTAACTTTATGCTCTATATTGACCAAACTTGCATGGATTATACATCTAAAGATGCATATTACCGGGCTTGCTTCGGATGCTGAATCTGAGCTACATTTTCTGGTTGAGTGAACAGGTTAAAGTTTTTGGTGCAGTGTAGGTCTCATTTCCGAGTAACTATAAGCCCTATGTTGACCAAACTTGCATGGATGATGAATCTAAGAATGCATACTACTGGGCTTGCTTCGGATGCTGAATCTGACCTACATTTTCTGGTTGAGTGAACAGGTTAAAGTTTTTTGGTGCAGCTTTTAGTGTAGGTCTCATTTCCGAGTACTACAAGCCCTATGTTGACCAAACTTGCATGGATGATGAATCTAAGAATGCATACTACTGGGCTTGCTTCGGATGCTGAATCTGATCTACATTTTCCGGTTGAGTGAACAGGTTAAAGTTTTTGGTGCAGGTTTCATTTCTAAGTAACTACAAGCCCTATGTTGACCAAACTTGCATGGATGATACATCTAAGGATGCACACTACCAGGCTTGCTTCGGATGCTGAATCTGTCCTACTTTTTGTGGATGAGTGAAAATATTAGTTTTAGATTATATTTCATTTGCAATTAACTATGAGCCCTATAATGACAAACTTGCATGGACGATACATCTTAGGATGCACACTAATGGGCTTGCTTCGGATGCTGAATTCGACATACATTTTTCAGATAATAGACCAGGTAAAGTTAAGGGTGCAGGTCTAATACGAAAAAACTATAAGGCTTATATAACATTGTATAAACCAAACTTGCACAAATGTTGCATCAAGAGATGAAAACTCTCAAATTTGCTTCAGATGCTGGATTTTGATTACATTTTCATTAAAGAGAACTAGTTTAAATTTGTTATGTAGGTCTATTTCAAAGTATCAGATCAAAATTGCTTAAATATTTTCGGAATGTAAACTTTTTATTGGTTAATTGTGTGACTTTGGCTTACTTAAAGACAACATTCGTTAAGGTGAGCTCTGTAATCTCTGATTACCTATGTTTTATATTATATGATTTCTTCTATATCTGGTGAAGAATCTGGTTAAGAATTGAGCAAACCATTAATGTATGTGATATTAAAAGTTATGTAAGTTTAATTAAAAGATTTCACAGTTATCTGCTTCTGCTTTGCAGAAAGAGTTAACAGAGACACTTTCAAACAGGTAAGATAAAGACTATCCCTCTCACTTTTTGTCATTTCTGTATGCTAGCAACTTTGTAAAGTATTGTTACAATATAAGGAATACATTGCAGCAGAAAGTTGTGTGAGCATTAATCATAATAATAATGTTTTCTAAATACATTTTAGTATTAATGAACACCCAGTTTTGAAATCCTAAATGGAGCAGTACTAGTTACGCTTGGGTATTTACTAAAATTGATGATGAAAGCAAGCAATTAAATGAAATTACAAATGTATAATATCACATTCAAGAATGTGTAAAATAAGATTTTATCGTACTGTTAAATAATCTTTTTTATTTAATTTATTTGGCACTCATCATTTCAGTATTTTCTGCAAGACATACTACTGGAGAAGTAAATAACGTTTTAAAAATTTCACTCATCAAAATTAAAATCAAAATAAGCAGAACTTCCCAATTTCCTAAAAAAATATGTTCAGTATATTTATGTATTGTTTTGGTTCTTTTTCATTTAATATAATAAATGAAACAGAGGTGAATTTTTATGTATCTTTTAAGTCACTCTAAAGGAAGGCGAAAAGGATCAAAAGATAAAGAAAACACTCCAGTTTCTGACAGAAGGATCGCCGAAATCAAAGCTGCAGACGAGGAGGTTAGAAAGATGGGTTTTCTTTTCAAAGAAATTATAATATATTACAATTGTTTCAATATAAAAGATGAAAATAACAAACAGTGATTGATATCTAAATATCTCTGTATAATTAAAATATGTGAAGAGGGCATAAAAAAGACCCCTATAATTTCCAGGGCTGGGATCAGGTGCCTTTAAGGTTTCGTCAAAGGTCAATTTGTACAAAAATTGATTTTTACAATAGTTCCAAAACTACTAGTATGTGTTTTATAAAGTTAAAACTTTTACAGTTTTTAAATACATCATTGATTAACAAATATAGAAAATATCTCTTGATAACAAGGAAAATTCTTTTAAAAAATAGCATATATTTTCAAAAACACACTTTTTATTAACCCCATGGTTTTAGTGAAAGCCTTCATTGCAGAAACAACAAATGTTTATCAATGAAGGGCAAGTTGGACTTAGATAACCTCTGGAAAGTTGTTTTTCTTGTTTATTTTTCAAAATGTTCAGATCTGAAACTAAAAATACATTGCAAATGGCCGATTTTAAAGGGGCCTTGTCTTTATGCATGTCATGCTTTCAATAACAGCCTTTCAGAGACTATTCACATTCAACTTGCCCTTCGTTGATAAACATATATCATATCTGCAATTATGGTTTTCAAAAAAGGACAGAATTAAGCAGGTGCACAAAAAAATACAATGTATCTGTTTTCAAATAATACTTTCCATCTGTTAATTAATGATATATCAACGAACTGTATAAGTTTTAACTTTATAACTCTCATATTTTTGGAGCTATTGTAAAATAAATTTTTGGACATGTTGATCTTTGACAAAACCTTAAAGATAAACATACTTACTTCTGTAGAATCATCATAAATGTTTTTAATATCACCTCATATGAAGAAATATTGATTCCAGAGAATGTGGAAGTTATATGGATTAAATACAAATAAATTTAAGTATAATTCCTTCAGCTATTTCAAAACTATTTTCATTTAGATATTTCTTGATATGATACATTTAAGGTTTCTGTAGCAAAACTTAACGATTACATGGTATTTGAAATATGGTTTGCTATAGGAAGATGAAGATGAAGATAGCGAGGACTATTGGAGTAACATTTACTACGAAGGTGATGATAAGGAAAGGGCACAAGAGTGAGTAGCATTCAGCTGATAATTCTCTCGAGATGTAAAATGTGATGTACATGTATGCGTTATTATATATGGAAGAGGGATAATTTCAATGTCATCATTTGCAATATCTGTGTGTATATATCTTTTTGTAGTATTTATGAATTATTATAATTATCCTAATTGCATTTAAATTCTTTTATTCAGCTCTTAATTCAACCAAATCTAAAAAGTAAAAACAATTAGGATAAAAAAATTGCTATCATAGAAAAATAGAAGTTTATTATTTTTATATGAGCTTCTTTAAAAACATATTTCATTCATCTGTAGTATTTATTTTTATTTCTAAAACAGAATAATAAGGAATATTGGTGAGGATGGCGTGTATCTAGTTCGCACAGGTGCAGATGGCGGACAGGTTTGTACAGCATTTTATCTGAAAAATCTCTACAAAGTTAAATAGATCTTGCAAAAAATATGCATACTTATATATGTCTAAAATTTAATTTTGCTTTGGCAGGTTTTGGTTGTATTTGCAGAAAACATGCCAAAGAAATATAAAATTACCAACGAGGTCAGTATTGATATTTACTTAAGCTGCATGTACATCAATTTAAGTCAAATTTTCCTTAATTACATGTATATTAAAACAAGTAACACTTCAGGTTTAACTGTTCAAGTATTTAGTCTTTATGTAAATATTTGAATAAGATATTTCTTGCTTAAATACAGTTAATCAGACTTTGAAATAAACTTTTCTGCCTGTTTCAGAACGGTGAATTTTATCTCAAGAAGGAGGGTCCCCATTGTGATTCAGTGGAAATGTTAATGTACACCTATTACTCAACAGAGCTTCCTACAGCAAAATCTTGTCTAGAAACACCTTACAAGCTCCATTCTAAATATAAAGGGTAGCAGCCCTCTTTAAGATTAGCAGTATTTATAATATTCTGTTGTACATTTTAAAAAACATCTGCTGAAAATTAATGTTAAGTTGTAGAAAAAATATTAATTCAAAAAAATATTTGCTATAATCATTTATGAAATGTGAGGTTCATACCAAAACAAGTCAATATGTCCCAACCATGCATCTAATTTCTGGTGTAAACAGGTGTCTCAAAACACATCTCTACTCTCTGCAGTCCAAGCTTGACCTTTTTACACCGTTGTTATGCTAAATTAAAGTACCTTAGATTATATCATACCATGCATAATTTCTCATGAGTCTGTACATAATATTTTCTTGTCAAAAACATTTCCTGAACTGGATTAGTTTCATTCATATACTCATTATACCTATATCATGTTGTAAATTTAAATTTAATAGGGGGAGGTAAATGCATAATTTCCAACATGACAACCTTCTATTTACCCCCCCCCCACCATTGCATTCGAAATTCACAACATGATACCTACCCCCAAACCAAATCTCTATAGCCGTGCAATAGTACACGCCTCGTATGCAAAAATAATGAGTTTAATAGCACAGCCTTGCGAAAACATATAAATTGATGTTTAATCAATAAAAATACAAGTTTGCATAAATCATAATTCCGTTTTGGATCATAGCTTACACATACATTTAAAAATATTCTACATATTTAATCCAGTTAGATTACACAAAACTTAAGAAATTTGTATTCTTTAAAAGTTCGTTTGGATTCTCAAAGGTGTTTTATAAGGCTGTAGTGATATAATTATATATATAGTTTATTTTTGTTAAGTTTCACATCATTCTACTTTGGATCACTGCAATAATATATGTTTGAATTTGTTATGCTTTACGAGTAAGCATGATTCTGATATTGGTGTAAATAGGAGTATATTTATAAGACCTAGACTTTTTGTATTAAAAAAATATATTATCAGTACTTCTTCGTCATGGGATAATTGTTTGGAATAGGTTAAATACATGTATTATTTGAATAATGAACCTGTTCAAGCTGTTATGTTAATAGTTTGGAAGATTGCATGTTTTTAAAAGATAAAAGTAGAAATGTTCAACAAATTTAAGTTTGTTCATTGATTTTCAGAATAACTACCATTATGATTTTGCTTTTATTAAAATGTTTTATTGACTGCCTTTTTCATTTTTTTCATCAAAAAACAAATTTGGTATGACCAATTAAAAAAAAGGATTGTGTGCTGTGCACCAACTTTTGAAGCGCAACTTGAATTTATTGAACGTTCAGTGAAAAGAAAAGGGGAAGAATTAATTTACTTCATTAAGCTTTGTTGCATTAAGTATCCTTTGTATTAAAGAAGGGATTAATCCAGGTTCTCGACAAAGCTTTCGTGCGTATAAAACTAAAACATAGTGCAAACTTACAGATAGCAGATTGCAGTCGTTTTGCAAGTGCTAACGATCTTAATTGTAAAAGTAAAAAATCATTGTAAAGCTTTTGGAATACTGCCTCTCTTATAAATACATGAAGAAATTCTGTGCATTTCTTATAATTAAATGACAGAATGTAAATATTTATGTTCTAATTGTAAATTCTCTTCCGGTTTTGAATTGAAATTTAGATCCCCATGTCAGGTATGGACAAGTACTGCACCTGGGCTTATTGCATCTATTGATGATTGCTGGTTCGTTGTTGTTATTGAAAAAGGGTGCTTTTGTAAGGATTGATTTAAGAGAAGGACTTTGTCGTTTACTCTTCATGATTCGCGAAGTTTCTAATATTTTCTTCATGCCTGGATTATCCTCTAAGATAGGCAAATTATTTCTAATAATGTTAAAAATCTCTGGATTTCTTGGGTTATGCGTTGAAACGGTATGGTATGACATTATTAACCGATTTATTTTTCACGGTAAGGAGAGCTTTTCTTTCTTGAGATTTTGCTTTGTTTATTCCGTTTTGAATCAATCGTCTGGGATAGTGTCTTCGAAGGAGTAGTTCTTGTAGTTCTGTGAGGCGAGATTCTTGTCTATACCTAACAAATGGATCTAAATTTCAATTCAAAAGCGGAAGCGAATTTACAATTAAAACATCAATGCAATGCACCAGCTCCAATCTTATTAATAAACTTTTACTTATTATTAAATTTATTAATTAATTTATAAACCTGTGCCGATTGTGTTCAAATTATACCGACCAGACAGTGAATTGCTTTTCCCCCGTTCTTCAATTCCTTATATTTCATCAACCAATTATCAGTGGATTAAAATACTGAAATTAAAAGGACGGCTATTTGGCGGCGAGGCCATAAAAAACAAAACAAAATTTGCATTCAACTCATTTGATTAACAGTCAAACTTAAATTATTATACGTTTAATGTTCAGCAACTTCAATAACGAAACCCAACGATATTATTGACCTAAAAAAATAAAAATTTACATACATTTGCAGATCAACAAAGAACATTTGATGAGAAGTGAAACAATATTTTAAAGAATGTTCATCTTTTATTTCTTATCTAAAATCTTGAACAAAAAGTGATCAAACAATCAGTGTAGCAAAATATTATCCAGTTCATAGTTTTTGAAGCACAAACATGTAAGGAAATACAACAGCTTTTCCTTTGACTACGCTTGCATAATTCTATGTTGTTGTTCTTTTACACACTCAATTCTTATCAATGTAGCTTCTTGTATTTTGTTATATTGATACTGTCTAAGTGACACTTCGTAAGATTGTAGAGCTCCGTGTAAGTCTCCTACAATGTGTTGACAGATTCCTAGTATCTGCCATGCTATGTCTCTGGTTTCTAAAAGAGCATACACATTATCATCACACAGCAGCAGTGTCTGTAGGTCTGTCAGTGACTGCAAACACTGAGATCTATTACCTAGTCTATAGTGAGATAACACAGACAACAACTCAATCATAACATTTGGTGATAAAATTAAGAATGGCGTTCCGTTTTGAAGACTCCAATATTGTTCTAAACATAACTCTTCTATGTATAGAATATTGTTGTTTAAAATTATATTTTCCACCCAAGCTTTATTCATCCTTTTGGACAAAGGGAGATTACCTACAGTTTCAATGTACCTGTGCCTGTCGACAGTATTAAAGTATATAGTATTGTCCTCTGACAGTCTTTGTTTACTAAGATAGATAATGTGTAGTGCTTTTTCATACTTCGCTGTTCTATAGTAATATAATGCTAGAAATAACAAAGAGTAAATAGGGCCTAGCCTACCTGCTAATTTTAGCACATTACAAATCACTCGATCTAAGATGTAGACATTTTTATATTTGCAAGATGAATTATTGTTTGCTACTGTGAAGGCCAATTGAACAAGTATATCAGATTTAACATACTGTAATGTAAGTAATTGGTATGGAGAGCATGAAAAACTTGATAGTATATCATTGGATTTCAAATAAAGGTAAATATCCACCATATGTTTACAATAAATAACAATTTGAAAAATTTCCGTCATGCCACATAAGTCTATATCTGCAATACTTATAAATTCTCCCTCGGCAGTGGATAACACAAATGATGGGCTACTGAGGGCTGGTTCAAGTATTGATTTTAGAGTCGGACTCAGCAGTAAACAGGTCACACCCATTCTGTAATACTGATAAAGCTGTTGTAAAAGAGAGGCACGTGTATCTGCAACCATTTTGTTTATGAACATGTTGTTTTGTGGAATAAAGAAATTAGGAAAATCTCCTTCATAAACACAATAAATAAGATATTTAAAACACTTCCAGAAACAATCTAGTAATCTGTTTGGAAGCCATATCAAATGCCCTAGTTGTATCATCCAGAACATCGTGGTCTTCATGAAATAGGAACACAGCAAGGGTTCCTTCCTATAATTGATAACTTCCTTTAGAAATATTTTCAGAAGTCCGTAACATAAAAATTGTGTATGATTCATGGTGCTCACTAGCTGTTGCTCGGCTTGAGAAAATGATAATCTCCATTCTAATTCGTTAGAAGTCGAAACAATTTTACTTCCAATAGGCACACAGTGAAAACCATTTCTTAATATTTTTTCCAACACAAGTACAGGAGGCCAGGTGTGTCTCTGACATCTGTCAAACCAATCTCTCGTCTGTTTAGGCCAATATATACTGGCAAAACAAGCAGCTTGATCAAATTCAAGAGTTCCATCAACACCAGTAACACATGGACCATGGTTACGGATATTTTTCTGCTGGAAGTATCTGTCATTTGCGAGGAACTGAAAATAAAATTCTCTCCAAAGAGAACCTGACATATAAACCCCGCCATTAAATTCTGCAAGACACATGGATATTGTGAAAATGTTTTGTGGGGATGTCAGAAGGCGTAGTCTAACAAACCCTGGTAGTGTGTCGAAATCTTCCATTTGTAGGATAACATGTTTCGATGTATTATAGATCCTGGACTGAGATATGTCAGTTATTAGCTTAAATCGACAAAACCAGTACATTGTATCAATGTCAGATGATTTAAACCTAAACCCCTCTCTATAACTACCACTATTCATCGCAGCAATGCCCTCATAATTATCAACAGGTCTGCTTATCATCTCCTTCATGTCCAGCACGTCCCTCCTGATGGCCACTTCAGTCGGTGTCCCTATTTTACGACACAGACCAACATACAGGACCTCTGATAGACGAGGGATATGGTCCATTCTGTATATAAAGATTGATAAATAAGTTTTACTTGAATTAAAAAAAAATGCTTAATTAACAGGTTTTGGAAATTAATTTTAATTCTTAACAAGTTTATCTATTTCTACAAAGAATTATAATATCTACAAAGAATTATGATATACGAAATTTTGAAAGTGTTGTGAGAGGAGGGAGAATGTAATTGTGATATTAACTTTTTGTTTGGAATGGAACTTATATAATCTCTTACCAGTTCTGGGGGGATCTATAATATTGTAGATTAAGTTACTTTTAAATTAAAAAAATTACCCATCTATTTATAAAAACGTGTATTAATTAAATGAATTACCTGATAGTATTGTCACTGCAATCGCCGATCATAAGTCAGCAGGAAATACCAGTTGCGTATATTCCATAAGTCAAAAAAGTTGTAACCCGCACATCATTTTCTCAAGAATAAAAATTAAATTGAATAAATGGAGGGGAGTTGATGATAAATCGTACCTGATTTATTTTTATTTATTGATTTATTTTGTTGCAAATGCCAAAACATTAAGCTCTCTTAGCAAATTGCACTTTTATACTTATATATAAGGACAAAACTATTTCCTTAGCTGGAAATTTTGAAGCCAAAGTTCAAGTGTTATTAATATTAAGTCCGTATACAGAAAATTTCATCAAAGCAACAGGAGTCCATAATAAGTACTGGAAACGAAATTGATAATTTGAGTTATATTTGGTTAGTAGGAAATTCAACGTATTGATCGAATTTTGATTATTCAGTAGGGAAGTTTCCATATCTTTTAAGCAGACTAAAGGGAAAAGTTAGAAGTTCTTAGATTTGTTCAGTGGTCTTCACATCACGATGTGAATACGTCTACAATGTATTTTCATTTGGGAAAATTAAAATTTGTCTAGTTTGGAAAATTTTTTCCTTTGAACCCCCCCCCAATA